ACAAATAAAAGTATACATACTCTCACTCATATTGATATATACACCCATACATATACGTTATCATGATAGTTGAAGTTTACAAGTAGCATGCCATTGAGGTACGCGTGATCCTTAGTATAAATTAGGTACCATAAATAAAAGATATAAACATGTACATTATAGCATTCAGATACAGTACGAACTTTATGTATAAGAACCTGGCAGAGCATAAATACAAAACTGCTTCCGTACCGAAGGACCCGGGTTCGTATCCCGGAGAAGGCATGGATGTTTGTAAATATATAGTGTCTTTGCGGCCTGGGGGCACTTCTGAATATAAGACGAGCCAAAAGTCCTCTTATGTGGTTTGGTGCTAGGGGAGAGGGACCCGCGGACCAGCCGCTGGGATGCTTTCCCTCAAAACTGCGGTGGAATTTGAAGTCCAATCGCCTTGAGGCTTTGGCAACCATTCTTCCGTGAAATACAAGGACAAGACAACAACAACTAACAGATTTTAGCAAAAATGCACGAAACCTGTTTCTGTAGCAGCCTATATGTGTCAGCTGGCAAAAATCTCAAACGAAAAAATTATAAAATTTACAGAAGGATGACAAAATGAACATCATAAGGCGATCTATTTGTGCAAACCGAAAATACGTACCAACCCAATAACTTCTGTACGATCCAGTTTTCCTAAAAATTTCCTTCTCTTAAGCATCTTGGACCTACCAGCGGCCGAGCGGTAAAGTCACTGAAGTCGCCGAGCGGTAAAGTCACTTGTACTTCGGTCTGATGATTGAGCCAGTTTCCCTTGGAAAGTCCTCCACGGAGATATCCCTCCTTTTTGAAATCCAGACCCTTCGCTAACCTGTATCCCCAAAATACCGAACCCCCCGAAATTCCAGCGTCACAGCAATTTCCTCACCTCCCCGTCCATTAAAGCAAAAAAATAGGTGTGAAAATTTCGAATGACATCCTTTGTACTTTCTAACAAACATTCCATTGGCCTTTGACTCCCGTTCCTTATAAACCTATTCTAAAGGTTAGACCAACAAGCCTTTCTGGCTTTGTTATGATCACGACTAAGATTTTGTTTACTTTCGTTATTTGTATAGGAAGGAATAAATTGATTAAAAATAAATACAATCCTTAAATTTTTAAACTGCACTTTTATTGCTTTTTAAATCTTAAAAGCACAGTGTACCAAAGAAGAACCAACAACGAAATGTCACGAGAAACCAAAAGATAAGAAACCTCTTAGGACAAGCAGTAACTGATACAAAGCATTTGGGGAAATTGTACCTGCCACTGCATACTTTAGGGGGAGGGAAGAAAACAAGATTGCAGTCTCGGCCGTTTTCGGTTCTGGTTTGTCTAAATGTAGGGCTGTGTGGGGCGGATTGGTCGAGAAAGAGTCAAGCAATTATCCCTCGAGGCTATGCCGTAATCGTGTGTCGTTTCGTGTTTGATTAAGCAATGAAATAAAATAAGAAATTTGAACTTTACTTAGTAAATCTCGAATTTATATAAATGGTGCATTCTGTTCATTAAGAAACCTTTAGGAATTTTTTCCATTTAATTTTCTTCTAGGAATTGTAATAGATAAAAAATTTTCAAAAAATTTATCACGGTGAATATTTATCGCATTTAAGAAACTCCTTGAGAACTAGAAATTTCTCCCACGTTATTGACACTATTTTATTAGGTTCACCCTTATCTTGTCAATCTTTTCTTTCAATTAAATATATGAATTTGGACATCAGGGTGTATAGAAAATTCCAGGAACATATTCAGTAGTACCTTACAAAATTATTAAGTTAAACACTACTGTATCAGAGCAATGCTCAATTAGTTTAAACATTAAATGACGCATCCTCATGATTAACTATTTGATAAACTTATTGTGAGGTACTGAGGAAAACGCAATAATAACTTTGTTATAAATCTGTGCAAAAACACGTTATGAAGCCTTTCATTTTTTACAAGCAGTTATTGGTCTAACAGCTTGAATCATCAAAATCTTTATAGAGATAAGCCAAAAGTATTCTTCTCAAAAGATTATAGATCTGAATGCACAAAAACTCTTAGATTACTTTTTTGCTCGTATGTAGCTGCATGGATTAAAATAATGTTTCTTCCTTTCTGATTGTTATGATAACAACTGCATCTACCTGCATAATAATGGTAGCAATTTACATTTAACAGTCTGTCCTCAGGCCAAATTTATACGCGAGGGTTAGATCTTGTATTTTGTATGTGTTTCCTTCTTTCGTAGCTTGGTACTCGTACAGTGCTTCTGTAAGGTTTGAAATCTAAAAAAAAAAGTCTGATGTGTACTCCACATGACTTCCTTGTACGTAATATTAAATTTCATGCATTTTTTCTTGCATTTCATTTAAACTTGTTGAATTGAATTAATTCTACTTCGTCGATAGTGCATAAACCACAATAGAATAAATGCACTCTTTAAAATTCACTATATTTGTTTACCATAGCGACAACTCTGGCGCTAGGTTCACTTAACAGCGTTATATTTCGTTCATATTATAACTCAGAATGTACAAAATTTCTATCATTTGATAATTGTTCAGTCCTGACATCTGAATTGACTGCAATTTATTATGCTCTTTTATCTATATCTAGACGTTGTCGAAGAAAGTTTATTATCTATTCTGACTCATTTAGTGCTCTAAAAGCCTTAGAAACATTCTATGACACACAGAATCCGCTTTTTGAAATTTTAAAGTGAATAAAAATTTAAGTATTCGTGCTTTCGAAATTCTTTATTGCTGGGTTTCCGGACACGTAGGAATAAAAGGTAATGCGTCGGCAGGTATCACAGCCAAAGCTGCTGTTGAGGAGTCTATTCAACTCATTCCTTTCAAAGATATCAGCAAGACCATCAAGCAAAACATTTTAGATAAATGGCAAAAATCTAGGATGCACAATTAAATAATGAGCTAAGAAATGTGAAGGGTAGAGTGTAGTTTTGGGAAAGTACTCGAAACAGAAGGCAAGAAGTACTCTTGACTCGTCTTCGAATCAGGCACAATTGTCTTCTTAAAGCCAAGTTGTCCGTACTGTGATAGCATTTTATCTGTGCGTTATTTTTAATACACTGACTACCAATAAGTATTTGGACACCTATGCAAATGACGATATCTGCGGTACTAAGGTACGTCACTGACTCCACCGGTATATATCGTGTAGGAAACGGCATCGTCTTTAGTCGCATGCAAGATGCCTCGCAGTTCAGAGCTCTCTGATTTCGAGAAAGGTATAATTATCGGGTATCACAAATGTGGTCGATCCTTAAGGGATATATCTAGCGATCTGAAGTACCTAAAATCGACAGTGGCCTATATGATTAAGAAGTGGGGTGAGTGGTGATTGTCGGAATGTGCCCCGAGTCGGCAGACCAACGAAACTGGGAGATGGAGACCAACGAGCGCTGTCCAGAGAAATTCGGAAGAACCGCACCCAACCGATGGCCCTCATCCGCGAGGAGTTTCAACAGGAATCCGGAAGTATTGTTTCAATGAATACCATCCGTAAGGAAGCACATCTGCTTGGTTTTCATGGTCGTGCTGCTGCCCATAAGCCTTTGATCACAAAGTCCAACCGCGTTGCTCGGTTAATGTGGTGCAAAGCACATCGAAATTGGACCGTAGATCAGTGGAAACGGGTTCTTTGGAGTGACGAATCAAGATTCACCCTTTACCGTTCGGATGGCAGGGTCTGGGTCTGGCGTCTACCTGGAGAACGTCTCCTGCCAGAATGCATTGTGTCAACAGTCAAGTTCGACGGAGGTGGAATTATGGTCTGGGGTGTTTCTCCTGGTATGGGCTGGGACCCTTGGTCCCCATTCATGGTAAGCTCAACTCCGATGCCTACTGCACTATTTTGGATGACAATGGGCTTCCTACGTTGTGGCAGTTTTACGGGTTGGACCCCTGTTACTTTCAGGATGACAATGCCAGTTGTCATGTTTCGACGTTAACCAAGGCTTGGTATGGTGCCAAAGGAGTTCATCGAATGGACTGGCCTGCCCAGAGTCTAGACCTGAACCCTATCGAGAACCTCTGGGACGAGTTGCATCGCCGAATTTAGGTGTGCACTACCCGTGCAAAATCGGTGAAGGAACTTCTATGTCTTCTCCAAGCCGAGTGGAAGAAAATACCTCTCGTGGAGGGTCTACCAGCTATTGATTTTGAATATAGTTTTTCTTTTCTATCAAAGGTGTCCAAATACTTATTGGTAGTCAGTGTAGGGCGTCCGAATTTTAATAGACTTAAACTAAAACATTTTAACGAGGGTGACTTGCCTCTTGGCCGTTTAATTGGGAAAGAGGCCAATAATAATTTAGTCCTATACCTGAAAGAAACAGGTTTCTATTATTTAATTTGATTTATCTTTTATTATAGTGTAATTTTCCTGTGTTTCATCGCTTGTTGCATATCATTTGCTGAGTTTTAAATACCTATTCACTTTAGTGTTCATCCTTTTATTATTTCATGTAAACTTTATATTTATCGCTATTTGTTGTTTTAAATTTGTGTTTTGTATAAACTTTAGATGGGAACGAAAGCTATCTTTGTCTAAACTACTGTGTGTTTGGCGCATATAACCTTTCTGGTTATGCGCTATTAACTTTACTATCACCACAACCACCGCAGGATTTAATTAAAACATCACTCATTTAAGTAACAAATATTCTTTAATAAGCCTACTGCACTCTATATCTTTAGAGCTCATTCTAAAAGTTGTTTGGTGTCGACTTCCAAAAAGCAAAAATGACAATAATTATCAATGGCCGAAAAACATTAAATAAATCAAATAAAATTAATTATTGATATTTTCCTAAAGGATTTGTAAAATTATTTTTTTGAAAAATAAACAAACAATGCAGAATTTAATAAATAATAATAGGAAGAATAAATAGAAAAAAAATGTTCTCTGATAGACAAATTTGAAAGAAATCGTACCATGGAAATAAAAACTGTAAAAAAAAACTTGTTGAATCAGTTTATTTGAATGTCAAAAGCAAAACGTAGATCTAACATTCTCGTAGAAAATGTTTTGTTTGCTTTTAAAATGTATGAAATTGTCTCTGGGCTAAAGAAATTATTTGATCGGAAAAACATTTCTCCAGATTCCGTGTATTGTAGTTTAATGGTTTATTATATCAGATCAAAATATTTTACAACAAAGTCCTAGAAATCTTTTACAGCCTTTTATTTCCTTCTAATCGAAATATCTTTACAAATATAAATTTCATATCTCCAGTAAAACGTTTGAAACAATCTAACATTTTTTAAAGGCACGCTATAACTGAATATGTTTTTAAAAATGCATTAAGAAGCTCTTTACTCGAAGAAGAAAAAATGCCTTGAATGTTGTTCTCAATCAGTTATATACTTTTATTACATATTTAATATTTTATATTCAGTCTACAAATAATATTTTCTCTTGTTGCACCAAATTAGTGATATATATAATTTTAATCTTAATATTAAGTATTATATGCACATTCAGCCAGGTTATAGAAAAGCGGATTCCAAAAATGCTTAACGAGAATTAGAGATATTGTTGTTAGAGCTTTTAGGCTGCCTAAACCGCTTATAGAATAATGCTATATACATTTCTTGAAGGAAACTTTGAAATGATCTCGGTAAACGTATATATACATAAAAACTTATTGCATGAATAAAGTTAGAATTGCATACATATATACTGTCCGGATCCTTCAGACTTACGGCTGATTCTAAATCATCTATTACGATGTCTATTTTTGGTGATGAATCTCTGAAGACAGATTCCACAAGATACCTTAGATCATCTAAATAATCACTGCCGTATGCATTCTTAACAACTGATTGCAAATTTTGGAATGTCAGTTGTAGTTGCCGTCCAGCCATTTCATTGTTGGTCAAACCAGTTCTGAAAAAATCAAAATGTTGGTTAAAAGAGATAAGCTGTTGCACAAACAAAATAAGTGTTTTGTCATGAAAATTTCAAGTTTTTCAGATACCTATAAATACTTAATTCATGTTATGGCGCATTATACTACGGTGGAAGGGGTAAAAGATTTAGAAAAAATATGATGTGTACACCACATGACTTCCTTGTACGGAATATTAAATTACAGGCACTTTTTCTTGCATTTCATTTAAACTTAATTAAATCGACTTCGTCGATAGCGCATAAACCACAATAGAATTAATGCATTCTTTAAAATTCACTATATTTGTTTACCATAGCGACACTCTGGCACTAGGTTTACTTAACAGCGTTACATTTCCTTCATTTTTTAACTCAGAATGCACAAAATTTATATCATTTTAAGAATTATCTAATCGTTGCCACATGTTCTATTCAAATACTATAATAAATCTAAAACGATGTATAAAAGAAATTAAGCAAACAAAACAAAAAAATCAGTTTTTCACAGACGATTCAGTATTTCGCATTCTATTAATTCAGTTCTCACTTCGGGACAAAGGCAAAAATACATAAAAACTCAAAATGTCTGTTTTGAAAATTATGAAGTAAATCTTATTTCCTCGAATAAATTCCAGAGTGGATTAAGCATGATTATATGCGCAATAATAAAAGAAGGCGTTATCTTTGTTCTTGCGAAGCTTACATTCTCTAGATTGGCAACAAATCTGCTATTCTGCTGTTTCAAATGTAAACAAGCAATGGCCACCATGGAAAAAATTATTAGGCTTAACCGCATTTAAACAACTTTTAAATTGTTGGTACTGTAAAAATATTGCATTCAGATTTAACTAAAGACGTAAAAACTTAACCTTAAGATAAGAACAACATAATTTAATCATTTTTAAAGCAAAAAAATGCTCAATTTACAAACATATAAGAATATAGAAACTGAGAGCCGAGTAACAGACGGTATATATATATATACTTTACGTGCGGCCGATTGCAACCAACAAAATTTCAACGTTCTGAGGCTACTCGTTTTTGAGTTATGCGTTTTCGAGTTATGCACGTACGCACAGACGCCACGAAACATTCTCTTCATAATTCGTTTTGAATTAGTTTTACAATTTTTTGGGGGGAAGAGTCCTTTATTCTGTCCTTACGTACAGATATCACGCAAAATGATCGTTAAATTGCATTGGATAGCGGTCAAAATGTATATTTTCGTTGAAATATGATGCCTGAAACCTTTCGCGATTACAATACTTTCTTTTTTACTTCGTACAAGGAAGTAAAAAAGATAAGAGTAAAGATTTAGAAAAGATTTGAAACCGTTGTGAGTTATCATTATTAATTTTAACATTTTAAATTTGCAGCACGGGAATTTGAGTTGAGAAATTTCTATAATTTGCTAACACATTAAAATATTTCAAAATTATGTATATTATGCATATTTTATTAGAATTATATAATTTCATATTTATAGAGTTACTTCATTTCGAAAACAAAAAAATATAAAAATTTATATATATAAATGTTACCGGCCAATGTATGAAATATCTGCATTCCATAGAATACCTAGGGATTTAATGGAAAATGCGTGGCGTTTCTAGGCAACGTAGGAAGTATGAGAATTATTCTGTACTTTACCTAGGAACTATATATAATACCTAGACATTCTATAGAATGACAAATGCTCTTTAAATAAAGTAGCAAGAAAAGGTCTGGATAAGGCTATTATTTAAAAGACCTTCAAAAATACAAACTTTATTTTGAAAGAAATTATAAAAAACTGCCATTAAACCTTTTAAAAAATTAGTGAGATGTTCTTGGTACATAATAAATTTCTATTCTCTATCTGACTGAGACTGAAAATGAATAAGATCTACCCGACAACATTAATTAAATTCAATAAAAAAATCGTAAGTTTCCCCCACAGCAATGCCTTTCTTAACATCTTTTTGTTTTTTTCTGGAAGGAGTCACAAAGGTGGATACACCACAAAGGTTCAATATCGTTATGTGTAAGCTTTCTGTATTTGGTTGAACGTTCTTTTAACATAATATCATGTCCTCCGTATCCAACAGCCAAATGAGTTTCATGAAGTAAGCGAAATAACTCAGTGTCCTTGGAGTACAGTACTGACGCCTTCTTTAACAGGATAAATGAGTTTACTTTTGTTTTCCCCAAAGATCACATCATAGTGATTCAGCAACCAATAATCTTTTAGTACTCATTTTGGTAGTAATCCATAGGTTTTTCATATGATATATCCTGAGGCTCGACTGTCTAAAAATAACGTGGATGCGAATGCGTTTGGTTTTGCAATGATCGATTAAAAATAAACATTTATGAACTTTAACTATTTATTGAATTGGCTGAATGCATAGCGCGCCGCTATAGGCAAAAAAATTTTTCAAGTGCTTATTTTACATGAGTGGCGTTATAGCTAACATGTGCCAAGACCGGCGCCAAGAACAACATACTATCTCCAGATGCGATGAAGTCATATTGTTCATACAAGAAAAACAGTTAGCACGTAACAGAGCCACTCCCAGTCTGGATAATGATTAGCGACCCTGACTTCCGATGGACTCTTCCAATCCCGGAGAAGGCATGGTTGTTTGTAAATGTATAGTATCTGAGCGACATAGAGGCACTCTAAATACCCGGCGACTCGAAAGTCTTCTCAAATGTTTGGTGGTAGGTGAAAAGGAGTGAGAAACCCTCGTACCCGTCCAGCCGGGGTACTATCCATCAAAATTGGAGGGCGGAACTAAGCAAAGCCGTGCTGTTACCTATAATGGCTCTCAAGACTCTTGACAACGATGAGCTCATACTTGAACTCCTGACCACGATGAATATCGTGTGTTTGTTTTGATGTTACTGTCATACAAGTAAAATAAGTTACAACAACAATAACCTGAGCTACAAGGGAATCTTTCCACCTGGCAACAATTGTTGACCACATATCGGGATTTCTTGCGTACGATAGGTCGAAAAGAAAATGAAAGCCAGCCTGAAAAAAAATTGAAACAGAAAGTAGTTTTATTTTACAGATATACTGCTTGTGAAACATTTTAATATAAATTATTTTTGAGTGGTAAATTACTTGGTAGACCGATATGTTTTAGCTCTAATAATTTAGTTTTTAATGATATTAACTCTTAATTATTTTCAAATAATTCAGTACTAATGTATCATATATACAAATTGGATAAAAGTTTCATTTACCGCTGCTTTAAGAATGTGTCGGCTATATATGCGGTTAGGCTAGCTACACCGGCTAGACGACTCAAGGCATTTGCAAAATTACCATTTCTTTTGTTATTTAGAATTTCAGTTTGTTTTTCGGAAGTACCATTTTGATTCACTATGTGCACTGCGTTGCCGAACTTACGAAGTTTAAGTTCTTGAGTTTCCGTCAATTTAATCGTTACGTAAATTTAATTTTAATTTCCATAAAATTTAATTTCATTAGTAAGCAAATTCATAGATATGTTGTCCAACCGTGATAGTGTTTAGAGAAGCTGACAGCTGTACCGTGGAGCCCGGTTTCGAATCCCGGGTGTTTATAAATGCCTGTGCGGCATGGGGCACTCTAAATATGCGGCGATGCAAAAGTCCTCTCGAGAGGTTAATAATAGGAGAAGAGGAGTAGGAGACACTCGTATCCCTCCCCCGGAGGTGCTCTCCATCAAAATTGGGGGCGGAACGAGCAAAGTCGTACTGTCAACTATATTGTGCTCATGGCTCTTGCCAACGTCAGGCGCAGTCCTTGCCACAGTGAATTTCGTAGGTTTGTGCTGATGTTTCTGTTAGACAGATGAGATAAGTCACAACAACAACAACATTCATAGGTATAAAAGTAATTATATTTTATTTTACTATTCAACTATATCACAAAAGTGTACAAATTAATTGAAATAAAGTCTAATATTTATGTTTGAATTAACATTGAAACTATCTCACCTAAAAAATTCTGGTTGAACAGAAATCACTTTTATTTGCCAAATTTCCATTTCTAGGGCCAGGCATTCAGTAAATGCTTGTGCAGCGTGCTTGCTCATTATATAGGGAGTTAAATGTTTGCCAACTAATTGACCTGGAACCAGGAAAAGGATTTCATTCATAATCTTGTTTTAAGATGCGTAAAATTCTTAACATTTTAAACTGATTAGCACAATGGTCTGATGTTATATATTTTAAACACTTACACATAACTATTCATTTATTTAATTCAATAATTTTTAAAACGTAGAAGAAAATTAAATCATTAATCTTTTCTTTGCAATTGCATAGTTTCATATTTCTTTGATTACATTTAAAAACTGGATCTAGGAAGGGGTGACTCAAATGGAAATGATAATAAAAGATGCTTGAATATAAATGGAATAAAAGTAAAACATACCTCTTATTGCTGCATTGATTTTATTTAACCAATATAGATGCAACAGGGAAATCTTATATCTCCAAGTTCCTACTGATATTCACAGATGTCGGACGTAGCAGGATCACGACAGGAATTCATAGGATAATCTAAATCTTGCCCTACTCTTAGTAGCATATTCTAACCAGTTTTATCTACAACATTTCGTACCTGATGCATTAATAACATTCCGTACCTGACCTAATAATTAATTAAAAGTTATCTTCTCATGCAACCACACCTTACTTCACCTTAATTAGCCAATCCAAGTCAACATTTTGCAAACTACTTACAGCCTTGCAGACATTTGAAATTAATTATGTGCCACACATTTTTCCGTACTTCGGCCCAAGAAAAGACGACCGGAGTATTTGCTCATCTTCACTCCGTGGGAAGTTCGACAAAACTCTCAAGAAAATAATGTACCTGATAGATAGTCTAATTGACTTTTGTTTCCTTTACAGTCCAACGACCATTTAAGCAATAAAATGGGACAAGCTCCCAGTTGCGCATATTTTTTTTAAAAAAGGGCTACTGCTATCACAATATCTATCGATGCTATCGGATTATCTTACAATTTTTTTTTAACTCTTCCTTCTGGGCTTTCATACAAATCACGTACAATGAAACTTTCATATTTCGAGCAGCAGTCTCTTCATCTAAGCAGCCCCTTAGATTTCGCTTTGTTTACTAAGGCCACAGAAAGCAATCTCCCTCTTCACAGAAGGCGAAAGGATTTCTTTATTCACAGGTATTTACTGACGCCTGTTCCCTTTTATGACATCGAAGAAAACAGCTATAATTTTCCCTCATTATATAATATTAATTTTCAATATTCCTTTCTAGCTCAATGTTAATGCATTTTCTTGCCGTGCATTAAAACCAAAATAATTAGGAACTGAAATCATTAACATAAAGACATATTATTGGGGATTCTTAAGGCATCAGAAATTAGCGGTAATTTTCTTAAATTTGATGCCTCAGCTTCTCCGTTAATCTTATTCAGTATGTTATTTTTACTTCATAAAGACCTGTCTTTTAACGAAATTGTAAGGAACGTTTTGGATTACAGCTGTTTGTAATTTCGTATTATAAATGTGTATTGTGAATAATTGTTATTGGATACTGTGAATTCAAACATCCAACAGTTTTTAAAAAATTGACTTATCTCATATAATTTTATTCACTTAAACTGTACACAATGAAGCTAGTAGTTAAATGATTGAAGACCTCGCTAAAACCCGAAATGATGCTCAACTTTTCAATAGTTTACCCTTGTTAATGCAGATGCAGTAGGCAGCCAAAGACTTATCTCCCAGCAAGTAAAAAAACTTCTGTTAATGTAAACCGAATTATTCCATATACGATCGCCATACTGAGAATAAAACACGTTAAAGGAATTAAAATTCACCTGATGATCAGGGTAGTTATAACTGCCCTAGTACACAAATTCCTCCAGTAAATATCTTTGCCTGTCCTGCCATACTGGCCGGACTCTTCAGAATTGATTTTGTCCCCCCCCCCAAAATGCCAGCTCATATATTCTTCGAAGATCGTCGACGTCGCTAGATATCGAAGATACTTATATTTCAAATACGTTACAACTCCCCATCAGAATGAAGTTCTAGAATCGCGTTGAATGCTTGAATGCAAATGATTTAAAAGAAGTATTTAAGGAAGGTTAAAACTGTAAGGTATTTCTCTCACCTTCTTAACGTGCCTTCGTGGTGTAGTGGTTCTGCATGCTGGGCCGGTATTACAGAGGTGAGCGGTTCGATTCTCGGCGAAGGCGGTTGCTAATTTTTCATCTCTTCTGCTTCCAAAAATTACCTAATGTCTCTACAAAACTACGATAACTACGCTAGAGAGTGCTAGAAGTCCTTTGTAGTGCGTGTTTGCCTTCTGGCTAAGCCACGCTTGAAGCTGCTACGCTCGGCCCTATTATACGTGCCTTTTGATAATCACTGGCTAGTTTAAAGGCCAACTACGCTAGATAATTGTGTATAGCTTCGGCTAAGTCTCGTTTAGTTAACTGCAGTTTACTTTCTTATTTCTGAGTTAAAGCCCGAGTAAAGGCTTTCTGAGTGCCCGAGATGGGGGCCGACTGTTATTCTTATTTGAGTGAATAAAAGCGCATGTTAACCTTCTCGAATCAAAGTCTTAGTTCTTGTTTTGAATTCAGTGATCAGTCGCTAGTGCACTAGGTTCCTCGACGTTTATCTTAGACAAAGGAGTTAGGAACCCTGCAAAGTGACTCTAGAAACGTTTTTAATGAACTTAAACACAATGCTCCAAGGCTCCCCGTTTTATTTCAAGAAAATACACTTCTTTCCGAAGCAAATATATATCTGTGCATTGTGAAATACTATACTCTGCAGCTAGTTAACTGTGTGCAAAAAGGACTCTTTTGTTTAAATTTAACTCAAAATACCAAAACAAAATTATTTTTAAACTTAGATCAGCAAAAAACTACAGAGTATTACTCAGTTGTTATCCTATTAAATATTAGAGTTTATTAGTAGTGTTTAATAAGGTGATACGTTTTTGTTTGAATGAAATGAATCTTAAACCAAAATGATTTCATAATTTGTCATAAATTTCGTACTCACATGCCAAGCTAGTTAAATTCACAACTCTGCCTCTGGATTGTCTCAACAAGGGCAAGAACGCTTTTGTAACTCTCACCATCCCAAGCACATTCACTGCCATGGTATCTTCATAATCTTTCATGGAAGCCAACTCAGCATCGCTACCTTTATAAATGCCGGCATTATTTACAATAGCCCACAGATCTTAAAAGGAAAATTAGGAAATTTTAAAATTGCTTTCTTTATGATTATATACTTAATGTATTCAAAACAATTTAAATAGCAGTCACTTTGATTGTAAATAATTTATGGTGACATAGGTTACAATGCATCATAGATACAATTGACATAGACTACAATGCATCATAGATGTAGAAAATTTTTCACTTCTAGTCTGTGTGTAATTTTTCTTTCAAATGAAATGTATTTTCCTGTACCATTATTACAAATGCAGCCCACCAGTGGCCGGGCGGTAAAGTAGCTGAACACTGAGCTCGGTCCGAGGTTCGAATTTTCGTGGTTTGCCTCATGTGTAACGTGGATACAAGCCAGTTCCCCGTTCTCCACGAAAGTATCCTTCTCCTTAAGCAGATAGTCTTCGAGACTTTTCCATAATCACATAAACTAAACCAAACCAACTGTAATAAAATGCTTCTATTTTTAACTCTACGTGCTACGATTTCGCCACGCTTTAGATTTAAACCAGTAAATAGAATTTAGAGCTATCCTAAAGAAGAAGTTTAAAATTCATCATTTTTAAATTTTGTAACAGGAAAAGAGTACGAATAAGATCACGCTGCTGTCACTTATGTCTTGTAGCCGGCATGTTTTATATAATACATGAATTTCTTCCCACTTGAAGAAAAAAACGCATACTTTGGGCGTGGTACTTAATAATTATGTTCGGGAGTAAAAATCCAGTAAGCGATGATCAAAGTTTTTTTAGACATAGTTAAGATATGGTTTTTGAGTTTGCATGCTGTGTATTAAAGTTTATAATCTTAAAAATTTTTAGGAAACGATAGCTTCACATTTATGTATTGTAGAGGGTTTAGATTTTCTGAAGCAGGAGACGTGAAAAATGTGCATTACCCTCACCGGAACTCGAAACCTGGATATCTCGTGTCGAGTATGCTTCTCATTACACCACGAAGGCATGCAGATATAAGAGATAAAATACCTTACATACTCCTCCTTTTAAATCGCTACTGGTGATTAGAGGATCTAATCGCCAAATTTTGGTAGTGAAGTATTATCGTGCACCATCTTTTTAGGTTGGCCGGCGCTTGTAGAGTTTAATTTTTTTGAAGCAGGTGGTGTGAAAGATGTGCAGTACCCTCGCCAGGATTCCAACCCAGGACCTGTTGAATACAAAAGGAGTATGCTCCCAATTACACCACGAAGGCATGCGAAACGCAGGACGAAAATACCTCATAGTATGGTCAAATACTCATCCGATTCACCTTTTCAAGGTCCAATGTTTCAATCGATAAAAGGTTCTATTTCAAATTTTGAACTGCTACAATTTTTATAAACAGGAAATGCGTCTTTTTTAACATTGATGAATCTTAAAGGATATGAATTTTATTATATTTTCAAAAGTAATTGTATATACACCCTGTCACAAAAAGTATATGCATTCAGAAGAAATCGAACCACAATCACGAAAATCGGCAGGAATTTAGTCTGGTAAAAAGCTATGTAATTTATTTCGACGCCAATGAGACAAGGATACGCACGCTATACGAATATGAGTTGGACAGCTGGGAGAGTTTAAAAGCATCATCGTGCCGGTAGGACATAGCATATCAAACGAACCTGTTGACTTAAATGGACGGTATTGTGACTAGAGATGCCTCTGAGACGTAACCGGCAGCATATTTCACAAGTGCACATCTGTGTAGCCACCGAGGGTGTGGCTTCTAGGGTGGACCAATGGGCATTCAGGAATATTTCTGTCATGTCACATGACCTTTCGCGTGCTTTAAGATTTAAGCAAAATGGTTGAGAATATTTTGCTACGCAATTTTTCGTACAAAATAATTAAAGCATCGTCGATTTCTTCCAAAAATTTTCATTGTGAAGTTAGATCAAATATAAGCAAATGTGCAGATTTCACTATCTGGTTGAAAGAATTTAAAATAAATGGAAACAGAATTTGGATACTCCGCAAAAATATCCATGCGAAGTATTACTTAATAAGTGGTAAATAAGATGAAGAAAGAAATATGTGATAAACATCTGAGCCCAAATGCTATCTTTACATAAAACTATGCATATGAGAAAAATATTTACACCAATTATACATGTAAATAGAAGTCAGCACTTTTTATTGCAGTCGATATGAAAAATTATTTAAAAAAAAACTATAAACTCGAATTTTCTTAATGCACAGGTGTTAAGTAAATGCATAATATTCGAGGCTAATTATAGCTTATAGAGTCTTCTCGGTGTAAAGAGCGATAATATGCCGTGAACATCAATCCAAATATTAATGCGTAATAAAAATCGCGAAAGTGAAATGCCAGCGATTAATTAAACTCATGAAACGAATGCTCTAAGAAATTTTTTTCTACTACGCCATTCACTTTTTACCGCGAAACAAATGCAAATCAAAACGTAAACGACATACGCTCACATGCATGAAGATTTAGCGTCACAAGAGCAATAAAAGCTCATTGGTCCATTTTCGAAACCCCTCCCTCAGTGGCTATGCTGATGTGCACTTGTGAAATATGCTAACCGGCAACAGTACGAACAATTGTCGGACTTTAAAAAGCGGCGTATTGAAGGCTTCAGAGAAGCAGTTGGTCGGACAGGCACATCGGCCACCACCTAGGTCGAAGGAATATGGTTGTTGCTTGGTGTTGGCAACAATGGATCAGGAGATAGTCTACCATCGTGGAGGTGCAGGACGTCTCAGAAATACAAATGAGGTCGAGGATCTCGCAATCAGAAGAGCGGCCACTTCCGCAGCAACAACGTCGCTAGCTTCCACTCGACGCCATTTCTCACCTTCCAGGCATCCGGTGGTATCAAAGGAAACCATTCGGAGACAGCTGCCTGACAGTAGCATATGCTGCCGACGTTCATTAAGATGCCTTCCACTGACTCCATATCATTGACAGTACCGATCTCGGGCAAGCTGATATGTGTCCGACTGGAGGAATGTGATCTTTATCAAAGAATCCCGCATAACTCTCATTGCTAATGGCCAGCGCACACGCGCGTATAGGCGGCCAGGTCTGCGGTCCAATCTGACATTTTTTGTCGAGCGGCATACGGCGGTCACACAAGGAGTGATAGCGTGGAGAACAATTTGTTGGAACACAGGAACACCTCTAGTCGTCCTTCAAGGCGCTATAATGGCTCGCAGTTACGTGGACGACATTCTAACGCCGGTTGTACTGCCTATGCTATCAAGTCGCCCAAGTACCATTCATCAGCAAGACAACGTTCATTCACATACGCCTGCCAGATCACCAGACCTCTCGCTTTTAGAGCAGGTTTGGGACATGCTTGGAAGGCAACCGAGATAGGAATATTAGTGAATTAACTGCCCATTTGCAACGATTATAGCATGATCTTCCGCAGTGTGTCATAGGCGAACTACTTGATTCGATACCACGTCGTGTATCGGATTGTATAGCTGCCAGAGGAGGCTTAGTTCATATTGATTTGTAACATTTCTCATGCTATAACTTAATAAAACGATCTTTTGTTCTGAATTTGCAATCTTTGTTTATCCATTTGAAACGATTATAGCATGATCTTCCGCAGTATGTCATAGGGGAACTACTTGATTCGATACCACGTCGTGTTTCGGATTGTATAGCGGCCAGAGGAGGCTTAGTTCATATTGATTTGTAACATTTCTCATGCTATAACTTAATAAAACGATCTTTTGTTCTGAATTTGCAATCTTTGTTTATCTCCTCATGCACTATATTCATGTTAAGTTTCGTGATAGTAGTTCGTTTCCTTTTGGGTGCATATATTTTTTCCATAGAGTGTACATGTGGAAGAAAGACAAGTCAGAAAGATATAGAGAAATAAATTTCAAGTGCAGTTTTTATACAAACATTAATTTTACAAATTGTTTCAATTGAGGTAGCAATATTGCCATCCAAACCAAAACAATGCTTGAGTCTGTGTAAAGAAACACTTCGTCAATATCAATTTTTAGAGTTTCGCGCTCACCTTGTAAGGTTTTAAGTTAAACTAACCAAGTTTCTTTTTATTTTATGTTACCCTTTCCTGTAAACTCTTATTCCAACTTCCTTTCAGAATGAGCGCGCGGTTCAGCTTTATGCTAATTTTTGGTTTGGAGTCAAGCTTTGTATTTAAAGGTTAGTGAGAAACTTCTCAAGTGTGAGGGATCTTTTCAGTCTCAGACCACGTCGGCTCGGTGGACGATCGCTAGACTAGTTAGTATTTAAATTCTTACGCCTTAGTGCTGTTCCTCAAATACTGATGGAAGTGACAATCAAAATCGTAAAAACAACCTTGTATTTAGCGTAAGTATACTGAAACACTCAATCGATTTCGAGGGCAGCTAAAGGTCCCTCCTCATCAGGAGAAAGAAATACCTAGAAAGAAGAAAATAACGGAGAAGGAGTCACAGAACGTGGTCCTTATCACACGTGGTCCTTATCAGCACTGCACGTGGTTATAACTAAATTTTTAATCAGAGTTGCACTGGCCGTCTACTTTTACTGAGCCAGGCTATCTGATCGAACATGAAAAAATTAGCGAAGTTAAAATAGGGAGCGAGGGGAAAATGCACCTTACGCCCAGAATCTGAACTTCAAATAATGGAAAACAACCACTGAACGGATTTTTGTTTCAAAAACTGCTCCTGCTAAATATAAATCCGAAATTCTATCAAAATTATTAGGTAGAAGAATTTCTAACGTAATCTCTTACATTAAAGATGACTAGATGAATAATAATGAAAAATTGAAATCTACAGAATTGAGAGAAGTTCACTCCATACCTCAAGCATGTTTAGAACAATGTGAAAAGACAACGTGTCAGCAAAACGAAACTTAGACACAATTTGCTTCAAATTTAGTCACGAGTTGGAATTACTATTAAAATCTAAGAAAAGTGATGGATTTTGAAACATTAAATGATCTTATTGTATCAGGGATATTGTTCCTTCTAATCTGCTTGGCGAACACGACGTGTCCTAACTACACAGT